TTCGCTATCAAAAATACGAAAACCATTCAGGTTCGATGCGAATCCTTTAAGGTATCATGCGAAATCTTTAAGGTTTCGTTTTTTGGATACCGAACCTTTTTTCGTTCCACGAATCTCAAAAACGTTCCGGAGCAAAGGTTTCGTGGGTGTGTCCAGGCTAAGAACCATTTTAGGTTTCGTAGCCCCTACCGAACTTAAAAAGGTTCGTTAATATACCCTATTTGTTTAGAGTGTACTCATTAGATAGTTAATATATGCATAATGCTAATCCTATGGATTCGCTGATCCTTTTCTGGAAGATATGAAGATGTCGCTGTACTTTAACAAAGAAATGTTGGTCTAAATCTTCTCATAGTTATTTGATCGTTCATGTTGCTGGTCATTACACACAGCGACTCACATTTCCTTCAAATTTTGGGTGTGGGTGTGGGTGTGGGTGTGCGTGTGCGTGTGGGTGTGGGTGTGGGTGTGGGTGTGGGTGTGGGTGTGGGTGTGGGTGTGGGTGTGGGTGCTTATTTCATGTTCATCTCGACCCACACCCACCCGCATCCACCACACACCCACACCCACACACCCACACACACCCACACCCACCCACACCCACACCCTCTAAATTAAAAAAATTAAAGTTTTTTATTTACTGAAAACGCAAATTTTAGGGGTCAAACAAAACTAGAAAAATAAAAACTGAATTAATCACTAATTCGTCTTAAAAAGATGATTTAAATCTGAATTAATTAATCACAGTTCTTAATTTAGTTTCTATTTTTCTAGTGTGTTTGACCCCTTAATGAAAGAAAAATGAATTTTATTATTAATTTGTCTACATAGAATTTTATTTAAAATCAAATTTCAATTTTTTTTAAATTACATTGTAAAATAGGTTTAAATTGATATCTCTATTTTATTTTTTGGAAAAAAAACATTGTATTCTGAAAAGGACTCCTAAGAGTCTAAAGAAACATTTTTGTTAAGACGGTTAATTAGATAACATTCTAAACTAAATCACTTAATTCAATCAATGTATTCTCTACAATACATGTGCAACGAATTGTTTTGTGACGAATTGATTGCGACGCATTGTACGCGACGAATTGATCGGTCACCTCAACACCCACAGTCACACCAATGCTTCACACTTAGAATAAAATACGGATCAGTGCATAATTGATTGGGAAAGGGACATCTGTTGTGAATCTGTATGTCGAGCACTAAATAAGAGTTGCTGAAACATAATTTTTAGCTCAATACTAGAAGAAGAAAAATTGAAAAGAGAGCCTACAATTTCGTTGCAAGTAAATAGTAATCAAATTTAATTTCTCTGTAAAAAGACTGCAGAATAACTCATCACAATTGCATGTTATTTTTCTCATTACCGAGTTAATGAAAACCGGCAAGTTGGCTGCTCTCCCACTAGGTTAAATGAAAGAAATCATTTCACCATTTCTGTGCGTAATTATATTATCGGGTGGAATATCAAGTCGTAGTTAGGGCAAAAAGTGGTCGCTTTAGTGAATCATAGATACAGTAGTTATTATAAATATCCAACCACCTTGTAAAAATTGCTTCTCTTTCATTTCTTAACAATGTAAGAAAAGGGTGTGAGTGTAGTATGATTGTGTGTGTGTTTGTTTATCTCCTATTCAATAATTCAGACTCATTCAAACACCATATAGCCACAGTCACATTCTCTATTGAGTTAGATAGAAGACTACTACTGAACTTATTCGTCCAGTCACGAGACTCTGTACCATCCGAATTTCACTAGAGATTCATACGCCCAATAAATTGAAACATCTGTTGAGCACAATACTGTACGATTATTTGTTTTGTTTTGTTTTCATTAATGAAATGAAAGATTGAATCAGCTCGTGACAAGAAATTTTTATGATTTCGTGTACATATAAAACGTCAAATAAGGCAGCGCTATAAGCGTTGTTTGAAATAAGAGAAAAATATTCTAATTCATTTGCAATATACCTCTGGTAAAACGTTGTGGGATTTATTTTCAGTCGAATCTTCAAATTTTGAGAATTCACTTAATTACAGAATTCATATCATCGAATTTGATTCTTATTTGAAGTCATGATATCGAAAATCAGTATCTGGGAGGAAAGTATAATTTCATCACCAAAGAAGACTGATGAAAAAGAAAACAAACGGGAAATCGAGAAAAAAGGAGCGTTTTACAAGTAATATATATATATTTTTTTCTTTTTTATTACTATTCATATAATTTTTTTTTCACATAAGACTTTGCTATGGATGCAGATCATTTCTAGAGTTGGCCATTGTTGGAGCACTATTGGCAGGGATTGGTCTGGCAATTGTGTTGACATTTTATTTCCTAGAACACTCCAATAACAGTAAATATGTCTTTTTTAGATTATCAATGAAATCTCGCATTCTTTCTACTATCAGAGAGCTAGACTACCATGCGTCATGCCAGTACTAGGCAGAAGAAAAGAGTAACAGAAGAAAATCATCGAGTCTTTACTGTTGATCAATTGTTGAGCCAGAGAAAGGAATGTTGCTTCATGAAGAGAAAAATTGAATCTCTATGGCCAACCACAAGCGGGACAGTGATTCACGAAAGAGACTGGTTCTTGTAGAATGCAATGAAAAGTATTTCACGAGATTTTCGAAATATTGCAACGACCAACAAAAATAATATCAAGAGAAATATCAGATGGTTGATTGTGTCGAGGATTCGTGAAATATTGAAATTATCGACATCTTTCATTTTCCTTTTTTTGTGGGATCGGAAACGTTTTTACTTGTTTGACGTTCTCTCGTATCATACATCCCTATTTTTAGTGCTGAATAAGATCAAGGCAAGTAGAATAATACAGCACACATTTTGGTTAAAAATGTGGGACTAGGTTTTAGTAATGGAACCTATAGAACAGCATCATTCATAGAAAAGTACTAGTTTTGAAAAATATTTCCATTTTAACTTTTTTCGCGCAGGTTAGTTGAAAAGCAACCATTAGAAAATATTTTTGCTCGGAAAAAACGGAGTTTGAATATGAAATTGTGCGAGACATCCAGACGCTTTTTTAGGAACATCTTGTTATTCTCATGGATAGTCAATCAACAAAGCAATGAGATCTCCGAAAATCTTTGACATAACTAATTCTATAGAGCGCTTTACAAGGATCAGTTTGGTAAAAATTCACATAAGTTGCATTGAAAAATGATGATGATAAGATCGAAATGCTGAAAACACCAACATTGGTAAAATATGACAGAGACTTTTAGAGTACATTCTAAAAAGATCGTTTTTTCACTGAACCCCCGAAAAAGATTCGGGAAATTTGAGAAAGCGTTCAATTGCATCCAACGGCTAGAAAAACGATTCTTCAGTTCTACAAAATCTTTAAAGGTTCCTCTCCAGAGCACACGGGAAGAACCTTCTCCTCCGAACCTGTAGAGTTTATAATTAAATTCAAATGGTTTTTACTAAACCTCGATGGCTTCGTACTAAAACATTGAAATTGAATATGTGAATCTAAATACTTCCCATTTTCTTGCGAAACTTTTTTCTATTGTCCGTAACTTGAAAAAAGGTTTCGTAGGAGACGCTTCTTTCCCTATGCGCAGGGGAAGAACCGTTGAAGATTTCCTAGAACAGAAGAATCTTTTTTCGAGTCTTTGGATGCAATTGGACGCTTTTTCAAATCGCTGGAACCTTTTTCGGAGCTTTGGTAAAAAAAATTTTTTTTTAGAGTGTACTTACCAAATTTGGTGATTTTTCGTATGTTAACCCTAATGCCATCACGTTCCCTTAAAAATACAAAAAGCCTTTTACCAAACGTTTTTCTACATGGGACCCTCTTCCGAACGAGTTATGTCAAAGACTTTCCAAGGCCTCTTTGTTATGTTGGTTGAGTATTTATAAAAAAAATTAGATGTTCCTAAAAAATGGCCTCCACCTCGTACGGTGTCACATTCAAGTCCTCATCTTTTTCCAAACCAATATGTTTTTCAGTCATTTCGCACCTAATTTGCACGAAAAAAACTTAGACAGACAATATTTTCTAACACAGTGGTACTTCTCTGGCGGATTTACAGTGGGGTTATTTAGAACGATGTTAATGACAGTTTAAACTGTATTGAATAACATATTATTGCGTTCCAAAGAAGGACTATGACATTTTGGAAGAGATAGCTACGAGCATGTGTTAGTAGATTCAAGCTTTTGCTTCTTGCAACACTGACCACAAGTAAGTCAGATTTAACTAGGAGTGTTGATCAAATTAACATTTTCAGATAGCAAACACGAAAAAATTAGAATAAATCCTACGATTTTGTTTTGATTCGTACTAACGGTCAACTGCGCAAAATGTAAGAAAATAACATAAGTAGCTAATATCTCACCCTAGTTGTAATTTTCTTCATGTAACTACTAACGTAAAAAATATGAATGTAAAATAAATAAAAACGATTGTGACAATTTGGAAATAATCTACAGAATAAACTAAAATGAATAAACGACCCTGATTGGTAGCTGGCTTGTTCCTAAAAGAATACAAGAGAGAATTGGATTCACTTTTGCTGTGAATCTTCCTTTTTCACTAACGACTGCTCTACCTTTATTTGTCTCAGAAATGTCTGAGCACTATGCATATCTAGCTATACTGGAAAAAAAAACATTCTAACAAAGTAAAAATTAGCTGTGTTTCGTGAAAAATTGTTTAAGAGTAGTATTGAAATATAAAAGGTAAAAATTAGGACTCACTGCTTCTCAAAGATGCACTGCAAGTCTTTCTCAGATTGAGACAGACTTTGTTGGCATACAATTAAAGAGCACATATCACTAACATCTTATTAGAACATATGAGCTGGTTCCTTATTACAGTTGTAGTGGACTTAGTATAGGATGATAAAGAAATATGTCCCAAAATAGGTAGTATAAACGAATTTTTATGTGATCAAAATTAATGGCTGTGTCGTGTTTCATGTTCTAACCTCGCAGAGATCGTCCTAATAGATTTATCATGGGTCAAACATGTGCTCGTAAGTTGATGTATGCGAAAATCAGAATATTGGGATAAATGCTGAAACAAAACCTATTTCTATTCTGTAAAAGTCCATTTACATCCCTATGCCAAACTAATTTTATTCGATAGGTATGATCAATAACACGAGCCCTGGTACGTTAAACACAAGCTTATATCCAAGTACAACAACCACTGTAACGACCTCAACTTCGACCTCAACTTCAACCTCGACCTCGACTACTAAAACATGTAAATAGATGCTATATGTCAAGATGTCGTTTATTTATATTGCTGTTTGCATCTTTTCAAACAGCCTTTCAACGTAGGAGCTCGAAAAAATACTAAGGTCTGTCTGGAGCCACTCATCCTTTTTTTCAGGGGGACATACGTAGTGATAGTCGTAGAAACAGAGGGGATGAGACATTTTCCTGTAGATTCTGCGGGCAAAATCAAAAATTTTTCAATACTGGGACTGCCACGTCTCGCACCCCCATGTTACGCAAGCTATGACTTTTCTCTACACTCTGACCCATTTCAACGATGCTTATGAATCTCTCTGACTAGGTGTGTTTTCGTAATTATGGAGCTCGATTATGTTTATCAACAACACATTTACATGATCAGATCAGTGATTTAGAACTTGCCTTGAACACATATTTCCCTTATATGACATTGCCTTTGCGCGTTAATAATCGTCATTGAACTTTTCATATTTTACTTGAGGTATCTGATGCTTCACGGATTTCGCTGGTTATGCTCATTTTAGTTTTCGAATTTTGAATAGAAAGAATTCAGGTTGGTACCTCCACACTCTCTAATACTCAATTAGTACATTGCCAGGCGTATCTACTTGGATGTAGATGTGATTGAAATGGTGAATTATACCGGTATGCCATATTCACACCAACATCCAATTAGAAATTATCATGCATACCACAAGTGCTCCATACATGCTCTATAAAAATGACTGTGGGTGCATACGAAAATGTTCATCGGGTTGCACTTGTGATTTAATTATCACATTAGCTCATGCCATTTTCATGGAGATTAAGACTACCGACTTTGCTCACATAACTAGTAACTTCTACCCAACGGATATCTATTTAGCAGAATTGAATAATGTTAGTATGTACACCTAATTTTTTTACCATCGAATGGAGTATAAAATTTTACATTCACTCAAATTATTTGAGACTGGCGTGCAGTGATTTCAGATGGACGTCAGGGTCACACTATTCTCAGAGGATCCCAAAGTGACCAGCCAAATAGTCAACCTTTATTTTTAAAAGTTTACATCTAATTTTTGTTTTCGACCATACATTTGTGATCCGGATTGAAGGACCTATCAAAATGTATGACAATTACTCGCTTATCTAAGAAAAACATTTTTATTTGAAATTAACGCGCTCTCTCTCAGCGTTCTAGAGAAGTCAAAATTTGTTACACTTCTTCCGACAATTATCTCTAAAATTTCACTTAGAACGGTGCTCTGATTCTTGTCGAACAGGAATTTTGGATCTAAAGATGGGTGTGAGTATTGGAGTCGCCGTGTTTGTGTGTATTTATGGGCGAGTGAACGAAAGATTCATACTCACACCCATACCTACGCCCTTATTGTATATATTTAAACTGTGGATCTAAGTGGTATGGTTACATTTATGAAGGCATAAAGGCATATCTATATCGAGTTATGCAGCAACATATTCCTCTATTGCTTGTACGTGCATATTCATGACGTTATAAGTCACTATATTCTGTAAAAATAAACTGAACTCAACTTTTAAATCACTTATAGAGAACAGAGTTCAAAGCTGTGAAAGATAGCGGAAGTGAATAAAGTACATTGAAATATGACAGTGCAGTCTTCTATGATCATACATGATTATAAATGTGTAAGAATCTATGCCAGATTTTACTGTCTGATTGTATGGCCTGGGTAGTATTCGAATTATTTTTGAGAACTTCAGACCTCCATAAAAAGTAGAAGTCCTGTGGAGTCTTGGAGTTCGATGTTTCCTCCTTAATGTCTTCTTACATCCTTAGTAGACTCCGATTGATGCAACATCTCTTGATCAATGACAATAGTTCTAGGAACACGATCTTCAAAATAGTAAAATTGCGTCGAAGAGGACAAATCTTCGTCATTTTTTGATCAGTCTGGATCGGTTGGACACTGGTAACGATCCCACTTATTAATCAAAGCAACTCTGTACGTAATGTAACGATATTATTTCTATAATGGAAGTACTCATAGTCACCATATAATAATGATTATCTAATTAGTAAATGCTTAGACTTGAAATCGCTTTCTTACGCGTAAAAGGTTTCCACTATGTGTTTAGGCCCGATGCGAGGATCTAAAATGCGTTAAAATACTGCAGTTTTTAGTACATTAAATCCGCTTTTCTCATTTATTTAACGCGTTTCGACAGTTCTTTGAGTGATAATGTTTACAAAATCAACATATAGAAACATGTAGATTGCTGTGCTTGCAAAGCATTCGTTTCCGTTTATTAATGCCGGTCTGTGAGACTGGATACCATCCGTAAGAAATTGTGGTCGTTCTGTTGTTTCTTTAAACTTCTTTGTCATAATATTTAGCTGTTACTACCACAACAACTGCAGCAACTGCCAGTGAGTAGTTCCAAAAAGAAATTCAACCAAGGAACATTTTATTTGACTATTTTATTTCAGCAATTACATCCAATACATGCACATCAGGGTGGACCGGCATCACCATACTCTACCACTGCTACAATAATTGTACCGTTCGTAGTTCGTACGTACAATATACATATACTTACGTAGCTATTGCAAATACAACAGGAATTACGTTTGCTTTGCGTGATGATATATATTATTTTTCACTTGATAATATAACAGTATGGAACAATGCAGCACCTAACACTCAACTACTTCTCAATGGTGGTTTCGAGACAGGCATTCTTACACCATGGATCTATTGCAATCCACAGAATGCATCTCATGCCGGCCAACTGGAAACAGGAAATGTCTCTGATGGTTACTATACGTATATGCCTTACTCTGGTTCGAATTTTTATCTAGATGGGTCTGTAGGGAATACCGATTATCTCACTCAAACATTTTCGACCAAAATTGGTGATACATACACAATATCCGTTTGGTTATATAATCCCGGTGCTGTTACAGGCGTTAGTGTTGATGTTCTTATGAGTACTTAATAATATACTTAGTGAGATACTAAACATGATAGACAATAAAAAAAAACTATATCCTCATTTTTATTCTCTTTGCTACTGCTGAAAGAATACTATTAATAAAACTTCATAAAATAAATCTTGAGGGTGTGCGTGTAGGTGTGGAGCAAGGGCGAAAGGCAATATTTCATCTACTCCAAAAAATTAATTTGGAGTAGAGTGGAGTATCACTGGAATAGGGTGGAGTATAACTGGAGTGCAACAGGAGTACGACTGGAGTAGGGTGGAATATCACTGGGGTACAAGTGGAATATAGGGATGCAACTGACGATCATTCATCACTTAACCGTCACCGTTTCACCGCTCCAAACTTAAAAATCGTAGCTACGGTTCCCGGTTCAAACCCATTGGCAAGAAAACACTATTTCATGAGAAAATGAAGATATTTCGTAAAGGTTGACAAAAGTAAACCGAGTTTCGGAGAATCCGAATCTGAAGTCAGCTTTGGAAAATTTTGAGTTTTAGTCTTCACATATAATGTTTTTCAGGAACAAATATTTCTAGAAAAAAAGACGATTTCAAGAAGTGGTTAAGTTTTGGGAAGAGAAAATCAAAAAGTTCAAGGATCTGATTTCAGATTCGGATTCTTCCATTTCGATTTCAATTTATTTTCTTGAACCTTTTTAATATATAACTACTTTTCTGAAAAACCTTTTCCTTTGTCGAAAAATTCAATTCAAATTCTCAAAGGCTAACTTCAAATTCAGATTCTCCGACCTCGATTTCCTTTCGTCAACCTTATTGAAGTATCCTTGTCTTCTTATAAAATGGTGTTTTTTCTTGCGAATGGGTTTGACTTGGTAATCGCACCTACGGTTATCATCAGCATTGCATCTCTAGTGCAATAAGGTTGGAGTACGACTGGAGTAGAGTGGAGTACCGGTGAAGTATCAGTGGAGTATCAGTGGAGTATCGGTAGAGTAGAGTGGAGTAGCATTGGAGTGCAAGTGAAGTATCGGTGGAGTAGTGTGCATTATGGGTGGAGTATGCACTCCTGGAGTATCACCTTTTTCCCTTGACGTGGGGCAGATGTGGGTTTGGGGTGAGGATGTCAGTGTGGGTGCGGATGTGGATGTTTATCGATGCATGAGTAGAACACTCACACCCACAAATCCACACCCACACCCACACCCTATTTTGCCACACGATCATTTTGGCTCGCACCTGGATAATAATGGGAAAACTATTGACATTGAGCTGGAACGAAAAAACTTTGAAAAAGCCGGTGGTGTACGTGCCGAAATGTGGTCTGAAACAGTAATCGATGTCCATCCGGTTGTTGCTTCGTTTATTAATCAGAAGGTCGACGTTGTCGAGTCGAACAGTGTCAATATTGACGAGCTTTGGTGCTCTCGTCACGTTATGCAAACTCAATACACAATTCAAATAGTTCACTGCAATTCTACAGCATGCTGTGAACATTGGCGTTCAAACTACGTTCATGTCTTTCCATTTCGATTCTTACCACCACTCGTGCCCTTCGAAAAATCATCTGAAGCATTATCTATTGCTGGTAATGATCGCCAGGCAAATGCATTCTACGGTAGACTCTTTCAACGCATTCAAATGAATTCAATCGTCAAACGGCAACTCCAATCTAATCTACTCTCGCTGCCATTTGATGCTTTCTGCAGCAGTATACGTACTTTCTTGCCAAAACGAACCTGCAAGGTTTGCCATCAGTATTTTCCTACTGTAGTTCGAACAAAAACTCATTCTAAGATTCATAAGAACAATACGATCCCTATCGATTTGTTGAATATCAGCAATGATGAAGATTATCAAGAATCCACCGAGATGTATGTTGCTCAACCAACACAACAGACAAATATCATTGTCATTGACAATCTAGTTGAATGGATCAAATCAGACTTCGAAGAGATATTAATTTGTTGATAATAATCGTGTGGATGTTTTGAATATCAGCTTGTATTATAGTGATGATCGAACTTGTCATTTATAGTAAATGAAATCATATTTTCCGAAAAAAAATCGTTATTTGTACGGTTACTGAAAAGGGGGGAAGGGAGAAGTGAACGATCATTGAAACCATATGGCACTGGTGAAGTATTTATTGATGGCGGCGTGTTTGCCAATTATCCAGAATTGACGGCATTATGGGAAATACGAATGCAAGGAAAAAAACTGGTCAATTATCATTTACTTTCTATGGGCACAGGATGTTATAATGCAAAAGTATCGGTCGACAATTGGAATGGTGGTTATAAGTATCGGCTATATGATACCAATGGATTGTTGGTCAATATGTTTATGGACAGTACACGTAGTTTGACTGAAACCGTTATGAATAATTTAGCCAAATTCGATAATATCACACGAATGAAATTCAATTACAAATTAAAAGAATCTATGGAGTTAGATGCTTTGGATTTTGCAGAGAAATTCAAGGAAGATTGGGAAAAATTGAAAGGTGGACCAGATTTTAAAGCATTAGTTTACTTTTACAAAACATATATCAAATAGGAATAGAATTCATTAGAACAATAATAATTATTGCAAATCATCTTTTCGTCACATTTTATTATTACTTTAATCGATTTCAAAGTATTTATGAGACAAGTGATTCATAGATTTATCAATGTACTTTATTTAGTAAGTAAATGAAGACTTGAAATAAGACAATAATCAAACAGATCAAATAAATGAAAAAGAGCAATATAGATTAAATTGAGGGTGTCGCGGTGTGGTGGTGGTTGTGAGCACCCATACCGATCCCACCATAGAACCACCACCACACCACCACCACACAACCCTAAAAAGAATAAACAAGTGAATTCCATCACACTACAGCTGTAATATCTCAATGGAATTGATCTTACTTCTAGCCCTTTTATTCTTTGTATTTTTGACTACTTCGGCAATATTGTGTAGCACATATTAAAAAAATTCTCTTTTTTATTGATTGATCACAGATGTTATCACAAGAAAACAACACAGAAACAAAATATATTCAACGGGAATATACATCTGTCTTTACTCAAATCTTCAATTCACGTATAACTTTCCATACATCCAAACGAATCCATTCCATTTGTGTTGGATCATATTTAACCAAATAAATATCTGATGTCAATGGAAATGGTAGATGACCTTTCGATTGTTCTAACATTAATTTTACTGGTTTAAATATTTTTTCATTACAATACGTTCTCAATGCCTCTATCCATACATCTGGATGATCAATAGGTGAGACATGTTCATGTACCTCAGGAGCCATCTGATAACTTACACTAAATGCTAAATGCATGATGGCATCATAGAGAAGTCCAGCTGGTGTCATTTGACTTGCATTCTGGAAGCTAATTGGACTGATAATTAAACCGATTTCATCTTGTCCCCATGCAAATGGATTAACCCAATCATTTGCAGCCCATACGTCTTCATCATCCGCTGTATTATTCTTATGTGCAAAACATGACCATACTGTTACTTTTGATGCACCCAATGATTTTAATACTGTAATCATATCCATTGTACGCGTGTTACTGATTTTACCGGCAACACTACAATGTGATAGTAAAATAATTTCTGATGATGGATAAGATTTTGACATAATTTTCATTCCATTCTCACGCCAACCATCAACATTCTGACTGCTACTATGAAATATTAATGGATCAAGTAATAGTTGCATTTGTGGAAAGATTTTTTTCAGTATTGCGAGACCGTATTGAACTTCGGTATCGACACCATCTTGATAGGCCACGAATGGTTGATTTACTAGAATGTACAAGAAGAAGAGAGGATTTGCGAGTTTAATTTTAAACATAAATACGGGCGCTTGTGACAACAGAACTTGTGTCATGTTCAGAAATAAATCGTGTTTATAAAAAGTTTGTGGATTTAAAAAAAATTAAATATTCCTTGCCATTTGCTTCGCTACAAATCAAAGTTTTCATGGTTAGCCTTCAGCATTCGACCAGTCACAATTATCTTTAACAAACTTGATCCTGATGCAACACTTTACACTGGAAAACTTCTATACGGATTTTCGAGTTCTGTTTATAATCTCGTCAAAAATGGGAATTCAAAAAAAATTAAATATTTGTCGCTGCAGACACATTTCCATTTCTCAGCAGCAAACCTACTGTTGGTTTCCTTTCATTTGAATCGTGGTTCAACTTTTGCGTCTTTAAATTGCCTTCAAAAGTGGAAAAGTATTTGACAATTTAAATTCTTCAGCAGCTTCTTCTTTATTATTTAATGACTCAGTCAGTAAAAAAAAATTCCGAAAGTCTCAAACCTTTTTTCCTATAGTCAGTTTTCGACGTAGAATCGATTTTGAGTACAAAGAGCATAACTTAATTTTGACCAAAATATCGCTGTGGGTGGAGCCTGCTCGACCGCCTTGTGAAGCTTCTGTTAAAAAAACTTCCGCTGCTTTCAACTATTAGTTTTATGTGTAGTAGCCATTTATAAGTCACCAGGAAAAGGTGAGGGCGGGGCGGGATTTTTAAATTAGTCCTTTTTATCAAAACTGACAAAATTCCCATAAAGAAACATAAAAATAATCATATTATCCCATTACAATCGCTGTTACCAGCCAAAACAACACTAACAACATAACCCCACTATATAAATATATACAATCAATATCTTCTTCTTCTCTTGTCCTAAGATTACCATTAGACTCCAGCAGAATTCACTATTTCCTAGCAGATTTATATCATTTCTGTGGGGATTTATATAAAATGACAGCACCATTTTATTCAGAATATCGGTTATTTTTTTCTTTTCTCTGTATTTAAATCGTCTCTTTTCTTTATGTCTAAATGACGTCATAAGATCGCCCTTAGACTCGAGCAGAATTCACTATTTCCCAGCAGATTTATATTGTTTCTATAAGAGGATTTATAGGTTTAACCGTAATTTGATGGAAAAGAAATTGGGGATTGATTAGAATTTCGAAAATTTTAACTAAAAAAGTATCGGAGGATAAAAATCTGCAACAATAAGAATGTCGGAATGCAGGAAATCGCCATCATAGATGGCTCGAAAAATAAGATGTCGAATGCTAAAAGATGGAAAGGTAAAAATGTCAGAAAGATAGACGTGATTTTTCAATTGAAGAGAAAAAACTTGAATAGGTTTGATCGTACTTAATATTTTTTTATCAAAATGTAAAAGCTGAATAATTCATTAAATTTGTTAGTATGACTTATGTTCTTTGTTAATTTTTGTTTCACGACAAAGATTCTGGTTTCAGCTAAGAGTGGTTTATGTAGACAACCAATAGCAACAATCTGAGGTCACGATATCGTAATAATAGGTGGAAAGTGTCATCTTTACTTGATTTATACAGCGTTCTTGTTTTCATATTACACTTCAATAATGTCAAATATTAAAACTATTATGAGAATATATTTATTTTGATAATTTTTCCGTGGGTATTTCTACTATTTGACGGTTATAATTTCGACAATTTTACTTACGTAGTTATTAGGGGCGTCTTTATATCAGATGACAGCACCATTTTATTCAAAATATGGGTTCTTTTTTTCCTTTCCTGTGCATTTTAATGTTTTGTTTTCTATAGGTATAAATGACGTCGCAAGTCTGCGGTATATACTATTGAAGCAAGTATTGTTTCCTACGAGTGCATCTGTGTGTTAAGTAGTGATGTATGATGTCATTAATAAAAATCTATGTCTCCATTTATAAAAATTCTTTAGTGATCAAAAGTTAGTTTGAGTGTGAAAAACGAAAGAAGGATTTTTATCAGTGTGATAGAGGATTTTTATTGTTTTTGCTGGGATTTTTTTATTTTTGGTAAAAGTCCCTTTATAAAAATCCCTGCCCTCTGCTGGAAAAGGTATGACTGAGACAGGAACGCTGAAAAAAAAATATTAAGTTCTTTTAACGCGTTGATTCTATTTTGTGTAAAAATTTGGCCGTTTTTCGGAAAAAACCGCGTTTTGGTGCTCTTCTCGAAAGAATTCGTGCGTTTCTAAGCGTTTTTCTGGCACATTTATAAGGTTTCTTAGTTAAATTTTGGAGAAACGCTTAAAAACGTCTAAATGTGCCGGAAAACGCATAGAAACACACAAGTTCTTCGGAGCTAAGCACAAAGACGCGTTTTTTCTGAAAAATGTCTAATAACGACCGAAAGTTTTCACAAAATGGAAAAAATGCGTTAGCAGTTTTTAATGTTTTTTCAGCATTCACGTTTTCAGTTACGCATTTTCCTGGGTCACATATGAGTTTGAAGAAATCACTAAGAAGATGGCGGATATGAAACGATTTTTACCAAAGTGAGAGACCGATTGGAGATTTTTTCTTTAGAGTTAGAAAAAAAATGAAACTGCGACTGGATTACTGAAAAAAAAAACTTTCTGTGTGTGACAATGAATTAAAACTTGAGGCATCTGATGTAAAGTAGAGGAATAGAGAAGTCTTCAGTGTACATACCAAGATTTAAATCACGTATTTTCCAATACTGTGTTTCATCATGTTCATAATTTCCTTCACGTAAAGTGACATTGTATGTCTGTAGACTACAATCGACTGCAGCTACAACATCTGATGGTTTCTGTACTGATAGATAAAGATTATTGGCCACATTACGAATACGAACAAATCCCACTAGAAGACAATAGATATAAAACACACATAGGCATTTGTAGAAAGAAACTTCGAGTAATATAAATTTACGTACGGTAACATGGGTGTTTGCTCCTTTCAATTATAAAGTATTGTGATTGTTTGTTCAATTCAATTTTTGATAATATTGGAAGATGTTGTTGTTCATCAATATCAATTGAATGATAGTATAAATGTTTGAAACGGCATGATTGATTACTATTATCATCAATTTTTTCAATTATCCAACCGTGTCCATACGAATATTTACTATCAGCTAAATAAAACAGACGCAGATAAATCAAAATAAAGTATAAGCAAAAAATAAATCCTACCAGCTGGTGGTTGTTGTGTATGCGGACGAATTATTAAATGATTGTCTTGTTCATTGAATGTTAATCGATGTGTTCGACTTAACCAATGATTAACAATACCAAATTCAGATTTTGATTGAAAATGAAATAGATCTAAAGATTGCCAACAGAAGAATGCAATTATATATATACTTAAAACAAGTCCTCTCGACACTTACCAATACCATTTGCTGTCATCGTTGATTCTAATTCTATGATGAATGAATGCACTTAGAATGAAACTACTCTGAAAACAGAAAGCAGAAGAATGAAACAGTAACATTTATTTCTAGATATGCATATTTTCTCTGTGCAAACAGAAATATGCAGCTCGTTCTTTTTTATTCACAGAGATACCGCGATGGAACTTATAATGTCAAATTAGAAAAAGAACAGTCTAGATACCTCTATCCAAAAAAAGATTATAGTTAAATGAAATGTGTGTAAAAAACATATTAGAATTGTCTTATCAAGTTTTCTTGACCTTTGAACATACACTGTGTCTGTCTACTCATTCAAAAGAAGTAATGG